ACCTACTGGTCATTAAGTTATTTAAGTTTAGGTCAATTGGTTTTTAGGTCAGTAGACCCGCACCCGTTTTGAAAATAGGCTAATTAATGATTACTGTACACATAACATTAATATCGATATATTGATTTTTATTTGAATATTTCAAAATAATGCATATAATGAATATTTTAAAATAAATTTTTAATGTATTTATAACGTGGTTTGGTATAATTGATCGCATTATATAGTAATTAATCATAATCTTATTTTATAAATGTTTTTGTTTTAACATAATATTAGATTAAATCTTATAATATTATCAAATTTATAACTGAAAAATTTACGAAGTTTTGAGTTTCGTTACTCTAATGGAAATCATAATAAGTTTGAAATATTTGCGCAAAACTATAAAAATAAGTTGAAATCAATTCAAGTGTTCACTGATTATAGTTATGACACGAATTCATTCGCTATAATAATGCAATGTTTGCCACAAATGTCTGCTTTAATTGATTTGCAAATAACCGATTCATTGAGAGATCTTTATTTGAGACCCAATTTTGCGGTTCAATTGAAACAAATTGGTGTCAATTGTATGAAACTAAAGAGATTTTCACTGCAGTTCCCAGAGATATCTAGATTAGTGCCAATAATGAATGAGCACTTCAAACATGTGAAACGTTTGCAAATGTACACTGGTCAGTTTCGCAGTGATTTGCTGTTAACCAATGAGTCGTTGACTGGTTTCAAACGGTTAACACATTTAACGCTAATTAATTTGAACAAAGTGAACGGCAATTCAAATGACACTTTTGTGGCAAATTTGTCCCAAAATATGCCAAAACTTCAATTCATTCATTTGAGTTATAATCACACAAATCATTTGTATAACAATTATTTACAACTATTATGTGATTTGCCAAACTTACAAACCATTCGACTATACAATGGGTATTACGCTATCCCTAAACCGCAAACGATATCTATTAACGATTACATCAAGAATTGACCCAAAATTAAAACAATTGTAATTCGCGGCAAGAATTACATCTAAAACTTATAACAATATTAAATATATACTGTAACTATAAATTGTAATGCAAACTATAAAATTATAATTATTTGTAAACTTTAATAACTCAATGAATAAAAGTGAATTAAATTAATTTATAAAAATTCACATCAAATAATAGAAATAATAGAAATTTAATAATTATACAAATGTTTGCAAAATGAATAAATGACTACATTATGAATGCCTTGGCATTGATTGCAAGCCTTCATCCCAACCCTCACCCCTGTCTGCCTCCCTGTCCTCAATACGTTGACACAATTTGTTTGAACAGTACTTTCGGGCCATTCGTCTCAAACTGATTGCCATTTGTTGACCGCTTTTGTCGACTAATTTCGTGAACACACTATCGGTTCGTTGCAGCAAATGGTATGCCGTTCCCGACTCCACCAACTCTCCTGAGTCTAACACCTATAATGTAAGTGAAACACATTATAACCACTTCCCTCACACGAATGCCGTCCCCCTCTCTGCCCCAACCCATACAAACCAGAATGAGGTCGGAGTCGATGATAGTGTGGATCCGGTGGGCGATCGTAATGACCGTACAGTTCGTGAACTTCTGTCTAATAGTGGTCTGAATGAGTGCATCGGTTCTGTGGTCCACATTAGCGG